AATTATAGCAACACAAAAGTGTGAGGCATTAATGGCTTAATTTTTTGCCTTCATTCAAGTGCAATGCATGACTCCTTGCAATACACAGCATGTATCATTATACGGAATTTTTAATTACAGCAAACTCAATGACAAACTCAAGCACTATCCATCCACCTTATCATTATGAATCCACGAATCCTTGAGGTTTTTTCCCCATGTGTGTGACATGATATTGAAACTGAACCTGCAATCAATGCAGACAAATTCAAAAGTCTGCAATTCAGAGCAAATGTGACAACAACAGCGAAATAAGCCATTAAAATTAAAATTAAAAAAAGTGAAAGTTTTGCGTTGCAGTCGAATTAATATTCGATGGATGACTGACTGACTTATCAATTCTGACCGCAGCGGTTACATTAAACCAAAGCGAAGGTAATCCTCTTTTAATTTCCCGATTCTGCATGAATACACTTTTTTGAGCTGAAATCTTAACAACAACAACAATAAGAGCAGCTACAATGTTTCAAAGTAAAGAATTGCATGTACACTCAAATATATACGATCACTTTAGTTGGATCGAATGCTAAGTCTGTCTCTCTGTTTGTCGCTGTGTCAGTTGACTGAATGCACAGGCGAACGAGCAGCTTACTATGTATGTTCCGAACCATACAGTGTTATGTTGCAATTTATCACCATCAATTTATATTTATTCGCATATGAGTAGTTAGTTAGTAGTGAGTGAACTGGCACAACGCACCTTTACAGGGCCCCACAATTGATATCTCGTGTTAGTTGTGATCTTTACACGCAATTAAAATACGAGTAAACCGCGTCTGAACGCCGTCCGACGTCATATACAGTCGTCGAATGTATTAGTTTACTCCAAAAAATATTTATTACATACGATCAGCAGACACAGTGCTGGTGAACGTGTTATGGAATTATCGTGCAACGGTGCACTTGCAACTCAAAATGTGCATATGAGCTGCGTTAAAACAAACAGAACCGATCTTCACTGCACTGTATCACACTGCACTGCACTCTGCACTCACTATACATCATAAACTACACACTGCATATGCAATAAATGATGAATGTTTTGGTACGCTTTTATCAAGGTTCAGGCCGCAGCGCAGTGGTCATTCCAACAAAGATGACATGACAGTAGAATTACGAATTTTACATGCTTGGTAATGCATCATCGGTGAAGGAAATTCGATATTGTTGTCAACTTTTAGCCAAAAAAAAGAACTTTTTTAATATAAGCAAATCTGTTTTATTTTTATTATTTCTTAATAATAAAAAAATAGTGTTTTAAGATATGAAATTTTGAAATGATTGCTAAAAAGAACATAATTTTAAATGTCATGTCAATATAATAACCGAAGTATACGTACTCGGTTCTTCTTCTTGAGTAAAGTATGAGAAAAGTAGAATTTCATTAGATGTAGTCTTATATCAAGAAGTCGATATAACATGCTAAAAAAATTTGAATGAGATTGTCAAAAAACTAAGCTGAAAGATATTTTAGATAGCATAGATAGAAAAAAGTCAAAAGTTGATATATGGCAAATAGAGATACAAATATCACACAATATTTTCAATAGCATAAACGGCCAGTAATTTGTATAATAATTACCTGCTGCCATCAGAATAGTAATAATATCTATAAGTCCGTCATCAAGAGACATTTTTTGATAGGTAATATGCATCTAGATTTTATTTATTATTTCATAGATATATATCAGAGCTGAAATTGTTCAAAATTAATGAAAATCAAGGCACAGAAGAATTAGTTGAACATTTTTGTGACTATCTGAACACCTCGATTTGGAGTATCTTCCTCCTAGGT